ATTCGAGAGACAGCTGTAAATTTTTACCGTATATCACGTTCCTTTTGTTCGATGGTTATAGCTACGTTCTTTCCTTGAGTATCCATACATGTAATGTCCTTTGACTTATAGAGGGCAGTTCCTCAGAAAACACCTGTCAGTCATCCTTGTCGAGGGGGTCATTGGATTTTCCGGATGCTCGTTGGCTCTTCAGGTTCGTTTATCGTTGGGCGCCAGATATTGGATTAAAGTCTCTTTATTCCAAGCACAGCCGGGTGAAACATAGGCCAGAGCTAGGTTAAGAACCCAGCCAGCGCAGCCAGAACAAAGAGAGCGCCCGGTCCCCACGTGCAGCCTTTTAAGAAGCCCCCCTTACGTCATGCCGGCTTTCCTTCACCCCGCCCTTATGGGCGAGTCCCCAGGTCCACCTGGTACCTGCCCCAGGACTATTGGGCGGGGCTAGGGTTACTCCCTACACACTTGAGAATTTATTTCTTGATCTTTTATTACCAGCGAGGCATTTCTCTAATTTTCAGTGTTGGGGAACTCCCTGTCCACACTGAACTTACTGTTTGAGGTCATTTCGGCTATTCACACATCCTACTTTACAAAGAAATTGCATTTTTGATTTACATACTTGATTTCCTTTGGTTCTCAGATCTTAAGCCTGAGAGAGTTGAGAAACGATGAACCCCACATCAACCTCTGTGTCTGTTCTGAGACCGGTGGGACAAGATGTGAAATGGAAAGAAGAGGAAGGCCAAGAACTGGGTGGAACTGGGTAATTGCTCAGTCTATTTCCCTTTCATAAATCACATAGGGGAATCAAGGCAATGATGGGAATGTTGTAAGAACAGGTCTAACAAGAACTGCTTTGGCTTTTTATCATCTCCCAGGACTTAAAGAGAACCCAACTAAAGAGTTTTTTAGGTGTAGTAATTATACCATCATCATTGCTTCCCAGTTGAGTTACAGGATGGTTCTCTTAGAAATGATAATTTACTTGGGCAACGCTGTAAGAAAGATCTGAGTAAACATTGCTCTTTCACCGACTTTCAAACTTTTCACTATCAAAATCCTGTTTTCGAAAACAATGGCAGCCTCTGATATCTACCAGAGCTTAATATTTTGAAATATTTTGTCTACATAAGTCAGGTTATTTGTTTTTAATTTAAAACCAGGCGCGTGCGTGTGTGGTGTGTGTGGCAGAGCCAATGTTAAAGTCAGAGGTCAACTTGCAGGAGTCAGTTCTCTCCTTCGACTGAATTAGGCGGCCAGGCTTGGTGGCATGATGGCCCTACTTATTTAAATAAGGAAACGTTTTTCACCATTTTAAAACGAATCTCCCATAGAGGCTTTAATTGGCACGTGAAAAATCCAAGTTACCACACTGCGGATCTTCAGTCTTAGAGCCACATCGAATTTGCATAATTAACAGTATCATCTTCAGTTACATATTTTAGGTTTTAGTTTCTCGGTGGCCGGAAGTGAGGACCTGCGATAGGAGAACGATAAAAAACATCTACTAGAAAGTGTACTTCAGGTTCTTTCAGGTGATCCCCAGGAGCTTTTT